AGGAAAAGGAAAAGGAAAGGAAAGGAAAGGAAAGGAAAGGAAAGGAAGGAGGGAGGAAGGAAGGAAGGAAGGAAGGAGTGTTGCTGCTGTGGTTAAAGTGCTGTATTGCAGGTCAATTCTGCCCACAATCAGGAAGTTCAATCCTGACTCAAGTTTCCTTCCGAGGTGGGTAAAATGAGGAGCCAGATTGTTGGGAGCAATGTGCCGACTCTGTAAACTGCTTAGAGAGGGCTGTAAAAGCACCGTGGAGCAGTATATGAAGTGCTAAGTGCAAATAAGCCAATTATGACTTATTGAATAAACTATGGTTGAATCACAGCTTATTTGGAGGCTGGGTGACAGAAGAAAACCTGAGTAGCAGTTACACTGCTCGTTCAGCTGCGGGACTCTTTTAACTTTGCGATACGCGGGATTGAATATTTGCCAATATTTACAAGACTGACTCATTCAAACATTTTATTAATACGGATGAATGTACACAAACACATGGTTAAAAACTCTCTTTTGGCAAGAATGATGCCAAACAAAAGTCCAGGTACAACCATTCACTCCTGGCACTGAAAAAAGTAACTAAAAATTTTTTAAAAGTTTTTAAAAAGTCCCTGCATTCACAACTGTGGCTGCATGATCCCGGAATCAAAATTCGGATGCTTCAGCCACCAGCATGTATTTGTGAGAGTTGCTGGGGTGTGATTGTCATTTATGGACCTTTGCCAGCCAGCTTCCGATAAGCAAAGTCACTGAGGGGAAGCCAGATTCACTTAACTTATGACCTGCTTAACAACTGCAGTGATTGCTTAACAACCATGATGTTAAATCCGTGTATCTGCCATTCTTCAATGGAAGAAGTGGGGGGAGGGGGTGAGTTGGTACAAGTAATCCTTTTGGATGTAACCTGAATATATTAAATCTTATATTGATTCTGTATAACTTGCACATGATATACAGCTGGAGGATTGGAGCCAGATGTCTAGAAACTTGTCACCTCTTGAAGAGATAACAAGATAAGAAGGGACCATAAAAATTCCAGCTCTGGAAGATACCCCTGGGAACTTTCCTAAGATACATTCCCAGAGAAGGGGAGGGGGCAATTAACATGTTCGTTCTTTGTTTGACTAAATCCACATTTAAATAAGGGGAGGGATTCTAACTCCCTTTATCTATTACTGTATGCCTGGAAACATTTTAGACTCTGCTTTGACCAGTGCTGGGATTCACTCCCTTTCAGTAAAGGACTCCTTTTGAAATATCTAGCTTTCAGAAGTTCATTCTTTTAGGTTGAAGGGAAAAAGTCCAGTGCTTACACATGGCCAGGAAGGCTGTAAAAAATTGGGCTCAACTCACTTAACAAGTACCTTGCTTAGCGATGGAAATTCTGGTTCCAGCTGTGCTTGTAAGTCAAGGATTAACCTGCAGTTGAACAGGTAATCATCATCTCCTTTTAACGACTCCATAATCCCTTGCAGGGTGGAGTCTTGGCAATTGAATGGCGCTAGCAGAATGTTGACTGGCCGGATGCCTTTCCTGTCGCCAATGTGGAGTTTTGTTCAGCAGATATATTCTCGTTGTGCCCAGAGAGAGAAATATCTGCCTCTACCTAGGATCAAACTCTCAGCCTCCTGATTGTGAAGCCATAGCTCCATCTCTATGCCACCGCACCGCTTTGTATGTTGAACAGCTGATGCCACTTGTGAATAAATCACCATAATTATTAATCATCATTTCAGTCTTTATTACACCGATCTGCAAGAATCCGTGTCCATTATGAACGTACTATCTATTCTGCCTCACCAGGAGAGGACAAATTCCCTTGTTTTAACAGCGACACCAATCTTTGACCCAAAAACTGCTGCAGCAGAATCTTTTTTCTAAAAAACGTTTAACTCAAACCAATGGTGCACGATTCAATCCAGCAAGATTCGGCTGACGTAAACATCCCCTGATTGATCTGAAAAAGCAAGGTTTTTTAAAAAGATAAATTGGATTCTTCCAGCAGGCTAATCAGATTTAAAGTGCTCACGCCGTTGGAAAAAAGTTCGGATTAATCAAACGGAGTTTTGCACCAAGGCAGAAGTCAGAGCAAACAGGTTAAGTTGGAGAACGTGCAAAAGTTATGTTAGTGTATTTAGTCAGCAGTTTGAACGTTTGTGCACTCCAAAAAAAATCACAGTTTAGGCATGGTTTCCTTCTGTCTCTTTGCATTTTCACTGGTGCCCATTAGCTCGGTATAAGGAAAAAAAACAACAGTGCAAAACTGAAAAGATGGCACTAATTTGCACAACCTTGTGCACTGTTGTGTAGCATTGTTGTGACTGTGAAAAAAAGCAGTCTTATGTTCGGAAGGAGGTACCCAGGGTTTTCTTCTGTGCCCCAAATCAAATGTGAGAAGCTTCTTTCAGTCTGTAGCATCATGAAACAAACCAGGGTTTTTCAAACTGAGTTCCGTGCAAAACTGGAATCTTGTTAGGGCTTGAATGGATTCTGCAAACATTTGGGTGGGGGAGCCCCTCTCCAGAATGGAATGGGGGGGGGGGCTTGAATGCCCCACCCGGGAAGGGCAAGCCTTATCAGCTGATATCCAGAAGCCTCAGGAATCCCGGGTAGTTTATAAAATGAACAGGTCCCATGCTTTGAAAAAGACTTTAAAAAAACCCCTCTAAACTAGACAAATGTCAATGCAATCAGAACAGTATAATTTTAATTTCTAAACTTGGGCATTGGTTTTCATTATAGTATATAGTGTAATACTAACGCAGTATCAGGGGTTTTCAATTCAATTGTATAGAATGGGAAGGATGCGTGTTTGTGTGTTATTTTTATAGTTTTCTTATGTATGATGTACACTGAAGATGGCATTTAATTTTGTTGTACAAGACAATAAGGTAAAGTAAAAATTACTCTTTCAAGCATAGGCTTTTTTTTTAAAAAATAACTATAATAATGTTTAGGATTCTAGCATATCTGGGACAGCTGACAATAAGTGCTTTTTAAATCTTTAAGCATTTTTTGGGGGGGTGCCATTCCTGTAACATCATTTCAAGGCATCAATAATGGCTAATAAGTCGAATTTCCTAAGTTAGTGCTTGTTAAATTTCCCTAAAATCTTTTTATTAAACACAGTTGTAAGCTCAGCCAACAGAGACAGAATTAGCTGTTTAATATGTGTTGACAGTCACACACAGTGTTAAAAACTACTTATGTGCTAAGAATGGATTTCATTAACTTTGAGGAAGCAGAAAAGTACCCAGAGGTTTGTTGCGCAATTGCCCTGCCACAATTCTGGCAGAAGCAGGATTGTCTGCAAGGCATGCTCACCAAGTCAAGTTTGGTGGCCAGAATGCAGCAGGTCCTCATTTAACGACTGCCTTGTTTAGCAACCATTCACACTTAACGAAGAGGATGAAAAAGCACAACCGGTCCTCACCTTTGCAGGTCTTGTGGAGCAAAGGATGGTTGAATGAAGACCATAACTTAGTCGCGGTTTCAATTGGCAACTACTTCATTAATGCCCGAGTTATTGATTCCAAGAATGGTCACTAAAGGAGGACCACCTATACCGTAATCGAAGGTCCGCCCAATTTTATGCAGGTGTGCTCAAAGCAAGAGACCTTTGATCACGACATCACGGCCAGGAATTTGGACTTTTTTGACCACATCCTGTATACACACACCCCTGAGTAGGATGATGGATCGTCTTCTATTTATTATAATCTCCTCTTTTCCTGCCAATTCTTCTCTCTTGTTTCATTAAAAAAAAAAGAAAACAATGTCAGTGTTAGCAGTGAACAATCGAGAACAGCCCTTGGCTGGTAGCCTGCTTGGATTAAGCTTGTCATCACACACCCACTGAACAAAAGTCCTATTGAATTCTGTGGGTCTGGCTTCGAAGCAGAGAAGGACACAGTTGCACAGCCATGATGCTTCACATTTTCTCAGGTGTGTTTAGCTTCATGCATTTTCAGGTAAGAAACTCCCAATCCACGCAAAAAAGCAATTTTAAAAGTTGCTCCCGTTCCTGGGTTGGACCTTGGACCGAAGCTCAGAACTACAGGTGAAGACAGGTGATAACTTTTCGGGGAAAGTGCAGCTGTCAAACTTGCCTCAGGAAGAACTTGCCAGCCTGTATTTTGAAGGACAGCTGCACACCCAAAGCATACGACATGCAAGCCTTAAAATTTTTTAGGCCGTACATCATTTCAAGTGCCACACGCACCTTTAAACACACCTGTTTGTTTGCATCCAATACTCCCAAGGCACGAGATGTGAAAGGACAGGACCCTGCACCCCACAATTAGGGCTGCGCATACCTGATTCCTCACCCACCCACCCACCCACCCCAAAATCAAGTTGAACTACATTTGCTTCCCATAATGACGCTTTCCGGGACTGTAAAGTAGGTTTTAGTGAAATGGAACCGGGCTTCTTGATCAGTTGTACTAGGCCTTAAAAATAGTTAGGCCCCTCTTCCCTCGACTTATTTCATTTTCTGGAGAGAAAAAACCCCTCAAGGGATTAGCGGGACGGTGGGTGGGATTGTATGCGTCAAGTATCACCTGATTAATGTTGTGGACGATGAATTGGACAATGAGGAGGTTGGGGAGGAATTTGGGCCAATGCTGGAGTCTGGGAAAGGCTCTGATAGATGCTCTGCATCGGACGCAGATACAGAGCCGGGGCCGTCCGACATTTACCAGCCACCAGAAAGGCAGCTGCCGTCGGAGACTGAGATGAGTGAGGAGGAAGAACAGCTGGAGCCTGTTCCAGACGCATGTATGCGCAGAGCTGTTAGGAGAGGGGAACAACGGAGGTCAGGGAGTCGACCCCGGGAAGCAAAGCACACGTGGATGTTGAATGGCCCCTCCCTGACTGGGAAATAAATAGAAGGAAAGGGGAGTGGTGGTTGTAGGAGACAATAGTTTGGATTTCTGTAGATTTGGCTCATCGTGTTTCACGCCTCAGAGACTGCTTGCCAGAACTTAATTTGCAGTTTTACTGGCCTTGCAATTGTCGCAAGGAACGAATAAGGTCTGTTGCTGCCGTTAACTCTTGGAAGGACTATTCCCTGGACTTTTTGGTGGGTGAATGCCATTAATTCACAAGAGGTAAATCAAGAGGGGTTTTTCGGAACAAGGCGTCTGTTTCTTGCTTCTGCTAAGGCTGGGTCAGAACAATTAAATCTAACCGTCAAAAGAAGGAAGAGGCCCTTGGATCCAAAACATTGTTCCTGGTTCAAGCTGACACGGCCCAGCAATGCAGCCCAAATGCCGTTTTTTTGTGTTTTTTTTTGACAATCTCAGTGATTTGAGATCCCGGAAGAGAGGTATTTCATGTGAGTTTACATTCCTTGGTTTTCTTGGCGTTTGGTGGTCGCCTCCGCATTTCATTTCCTCTTATTCCGGCACCAAGGAATAAAAGATGGTTTCCAGAGTCGCTTGACGGACAGTTGAGGCATCTGGGTCTTAAGGAGTAGGAGGGGGTGCAGGCTTGCAAAAGGTAAATGAAGACGTTTTATACAGGGGGCAAAGGTGCCGGTCGGGAGGGCAAAAGCTTTTCCGGTGCTCTCGAAGTTTTCACCACTGGGGGTGGAGGCCTATAAAGGGAAGAGAGGATCAAACCTGTGGATCAAGAATTCATCATTCCCGGTCATCAGCAAAACTGCAACTATCTACATGGCCCATGATGTGGCAGAGGTCGTATTCAGCCGGTTCTGACCAGTTCTGGAGAACCAGTAGCAGAAATTTTGAGTAGTTCGGAGAACCGGCCAATCCCACTTCTAACTGGCCCCGCCAACCCCATCGATTCTCTGCCTCCCACTGAGTCCCAGCTGATTGGCCGGGTCTTCTTTGGTTGCCCTTCACAGGAGAATGGAACTGGAAAGCAGGTTAGTGGGGTGGGAAGGGAATGGGGATTTTGCAGTATCCTTCCCCTGCCACGCCCACCAAGCCACGCCATGCCCACCAAGCCACGCTATAGAACCACTAGTAAAATATTTTGAATCCAATTACTGGATGTTGGACACCTAATACCTACAACTCAGAACGTAGAATAATGTCAGCCTTGTAAGCCATTTTTTACTTGGAAGTTTCGAGGCTGCCATATTTAGTGCCTGGGAATTTGAGACGGGAGGATTTCATAGTGAGGTAGAAGGTTAGACTCAACAACATTCTTTCTCAGAGAGTCAAGGACATGTTGCCCTGCACCTGAAGGGGAGTGACTAGAAGGATGTCTCCAGTTGGGACGAGGATTTGATTGGGCCGTGTGATGGACTGAGGGGTGCAAAGGGATGGATCTTCGAATTTCTTTTGGGAAGGGGAAACCCGGAACTCTTAAATTCGGGTTTTTCCAGATGTGCCAATAGGACAGCTCTCATAAAATGGAACTTTGAGAAAATGTAGTCTCGGAATCTATTGGCTTGGAGTTGTGTGATGACCTGGGGCGTGGCACAAAAGTAACAAAGTCACAAAAGTAGGTAAAGTCCTTTTAATATCTCCAATGTCCAGTTATCATCGGCTGGAGAAAAAAAACTCTCCCAAGAACAGTTTTTAAAGGGAAGAAATTCCATCTGAGCCCAAAGTAGATCTAAATTACAAATAAAAACCAACACAAACCACGCTGCCGCAATTAACGAGACAAGGCAGGACAAGGAATTGTAGACTTCCAAAAGATAACGAAACACGCACAGTTGGGAGGATGCAAGAACCCATATAAGACCTGACAAACCAAAAGAATGCTTGATTTGCTTCCACCAAGGTGCTGTGTGCAAACACCTTTTATATCCTGTTTTCCCAGCTGCAGCCAGTGAAGGGAATCAGGGCCCTTTTCTCCCCCGTAACCCATGTAACTCATGTTGCTCCCTTCTCCGTTCCTCCCTGCTTGCCTTAGGATGAAGAGGGGGTGGCCCTGGGTCTTCCTCTGAATGCCCAGCCACTGGATCCACACTCCCATTCCCTGTCAGCTGCTCTCCTCCCCCTTAGAATCAGATTCGAACAGGGGCATGACAAGTTCATTAGTTGGAACGCTGACACCTAAAAGAGAGTTGGAAGGGACCTCGGAGGTCTTCTAGTCCAACCCCCTGCTCGAGCAAAAGACCCTATACCATTTCAGACAAATGGTTGTCCAGTCTCTTCTTAAAGGCCTCCAGTGATAGGGCAGCCACAACATCTGAAGGCAATCCGTTGTACACTGGTTGATGGTTCTCCCTGTTGGGAAATTTCTCCTTAGTTCTAGGTTCCTTGTCTCTATCCCTAACTCAAAAGTAATTCTGTGAACACATATTATATATATATACTCAGAGAAATTGGTAAAATGAAGGCATGTACGAGGATCCAAAGGGGCCCTTAGTTTTGAGGAAGCTTTAATAAAGACTAGGGTAGGCCAGGATGGCTTAGTGAAGCTAGAGGGAAAACTGGAATAGGTAGAAGCCCCATGTCATGCTGCTGTTGGAATCTGATTCGGAGGGGGAGGCCGAGCAGCTGACAGGGAGCGGGAGTGTGGCTCCATTGGCTGTGGAAGAAACTGGGGAAGGGCACAGTCTGGCTGGGCAGAGAAGGGGAGAGGTAGAACAAGGTAGAGGGAGTTCAGAGGAACACCCAGGCCCACCCCCTGTTCATTCTAGGACACGCAGGGAGGAAGAGAGAAGGGAGCAACGTGAGTTGCATGGCTTACGGGGGAGGAAAGGGCCCCGATTCCCTTCATTAGCTGCAGCTGGGAAAACAATGTTTAAAAAGGTAAGCTACGCACAGCAAAGTCGCTGGAAGCAAATCGTGAGCTATCTTTGTTTGTCGAGGCTTATCTGGGTTCCTGGCATCTTCCCAACTGTGTGTGTTTTGTTGGCCTTTGACGTCTGCAATTCCTTATCCTGCCCCGTCCAGTTAATTGCCGCAGCGTGGTTTGTGTGGATTTTTATTTACAGTTGTTTTCGGATTGAATTTCCTTCACTTAAAGACTGTTCTTGGGGGAGTTTTTTTTCTCTCCAGCCGATGGTAACTGGACACTGGGGGCAAAGTTGGAGGTATTAAAAGGACTTTTCTTACTTATGTGAAATGCTACTAAGCATTTCTACAAAAACCTTCCCAAAACCAAGTTACAGGTAGCGGTTGAAACCCTTAGCTTGTCTCTTTCTCCATCCTCCCCATATACTGACCTTGGCGGGACACCCTGTTGGTCCATGGACGACACTACCTGTGTGGGGGGAGGAAATAAAGGGGGAGCCTAATTAGGTTTTACAAAAGATAGTCAATTAATGGGGAAACCATTGCGCAATGTCTGTTAGCCCGTACTTTGTGTGAATTCCTAGAAGACAGCTGAGTTAGCACTGTAGATATTAGAAGCCGTCAAAATGCCTTGTCCACCAATTTTCCCATTCACCTGCACTGCCTTTTAAAAGAAAAACGGGAACTCCAGTTAGAAGGAATAGGAGTGCTAGCTTTTTATAGCTCCTACTCCTTCTAACTGGAGAGCGGTGTGGTGGCCCAGAGGTGGAGCTCTCGCCTCACAATCAGGAGGCTGTGAGTTCAATCCTGGGTAGAGGCAGATATTTTTCTCTCTCTGGGCCACCGTGAGAATGTATCCACTAAACAAAACTCCGCATTGGTAACAGGAAAGCATCCGGCCAGTAAACACTCAGCTCCATTCCACCCCACAAGGGATTGTGGGGTTGTTAAAATTCCTTCTAACTGGAATTCCTCCTCCCGTTTTTCCTTAAAAGCTACCAAGGTTTGTAAACTGTGGAAATATTGCAGTTCTTACCGCGGATGATGATGCACTTCTGGAAGAATACGGAAAGTTGCGTGGACATTCGTTTCGAACCGCCTGCTGCCTACCGACATCCGACCTGCGAAAGCATCTAAAGAAATGGATGGGTAAAATATTCAGCACCTTTTATAAAATGTTTGCAGTCAGCTCTTCTATCTCAGGGCGGAAAGCTCATACCAAATGTATGGATTTTTTTTAAAAAAAAAATATCACAGATTTCAATCCTCAAAACAGGCTTCCGGTGCGCATAATTCATAAATTACGTTTAGGAGTCAAAGAATAGGTAGGGGAATGTCTATGTATGCAGGCTGCTTTGGAAAGATATATTTTAGAATGTATAATTTGAGCAATAGTTGTTATATTAATGAACTGGTTATTCGTCAGTACACGATACCCCGGTTTCAATGCTAACTTATTTGAAAATTGGTATATTTCAAACTGATATAAAACTCTCGAACACGCAGATAGTCTAACATGCGGTCTTTTTGAATATTTTTTGTCTTCCTGTTCTTTTATTCTTTTTTTTCTTCCTGGGATTCTATTTGCAAAATTCACCATTTATTTTTTAAGTGGGGGAGGGAGACACCAACATTTATGGGAGGTTCCATATATCCCAAGTTGTCCAAATCTCAGTCACTTCCAAAATCTTGCAAGAGGCCGTAGGTGAAACAATCAAAACCTTGTTCAAATGTATCACCCTGCATCAGGGGTACCACCCAAGTACCACCCAGGAGTACCTCACAGTACCATGAAGATTGTGGCCCATTAATGTAAACAATGCAAAGTTATACAAATGAATGGTCTAATTTAGATCAAGGGAGGATCAGGGTTTCCCCCAATGGCTGAGATCCCGGCATAACCCATCAATCTATCAGGTGTTTGCTTCCTTGTGTGTCTAATTACACTTGGCCAATAAAGAATGCTATGCTATGCTATGCTGTGCTATGCTATGCTATGCTATGCTGTGCTGTGCTGTGCTGTGCTGTGCTGTGCTGTGCTGTGCTGTGCTGTGCTGTGCTATGCTATGCTATGCTATGCTATGCTACGCTCCTCGCCGCTACGCTACTCTACTCTACTCTATTTCTATTCTATTCCCTATTCTATGCTATGCTATGCTACACTACGCTACTCTACTCTACTCTAAACTCTACTCTACTCTATTCTATTTCTGTTCTATTCCCTATTCTATTCTACTTGACTCTACTCTAATTCTATTCTATTCTATTCTATTCTATTCTATTCTATTCTATTCTATTCTATTCTATTCTATTCTATTCTACTCTACTCTACTCTACTCTAAACTCTACTCTATATTCTATTTTTATTCTATTCCCTATTCTATTCTATTCTACTCTACTCTATTTCTATTCTATTCTATTCTATTCCCTATCCTATCCTATCCTATCCTATCCTATCCTATCCTATCCTATTCTATTCTGTTCTATATTCTATTCTAATCTATTCGATTCTATTCTAATCTACTTTGAGAATGTTTTGAACTTTCTTAAGACAGCGGGAGCTATAAAGCTCTACAAAAGAGGGGAGAGGGCAGCCAATGATCCTCTGGGCAATGACATTAACCCTCTTGAGCGCTGTCCTATCTGCCCCTGTGCAATTGGCAAACCCTACAGAGGGGCAGTAAGTTAAGATATTCTCTATGGTGCAGCAGTAGAAGGTCACCAGCAGTTTTCCATCCAGTTGTTGTTTCCTGAGAAGCCTCCGGTAGTAGAATCTCTGCTGGGCCCTTTTGACCAGGGCTGCAATGGGAGCACCCCCGAGGTCAGGTCCTCTTTTAGGGTAACACCCAGAAACTTAACACTTGCTCCAGCCGGTCTCCACTGATAAGCAAGGGCCGTCTGTCTAATCTTTTCCTTCTTATATATACCAAAATATATATTTTGTTCTTTTTCCAAAACCAAAAGCTTGGCTTTTCTGCAGAGATATTTTCAGAGCAAAACAGAGGAGAGAGGAAGAGGAGAAAGGAGGAAAAAGAACTTACCTGCAACAGGTGTCCATGAGTGGCAACCAGAAAGGAGTTCTTTTATTTTTGGTACGATAAAGAATGAGTACAACTATCACGATGGCAAGAACTATAAACACAAATGCCAGGATCCAGTTTCGGGCAGCCACATTGCTGTCTGGAGAAAGGAAAGAAAGAAGAAGGAAGCTTCTGCGCGAGCCTTCTTCGTTTTTTTGTGAAGGACAGGCATTTCACTCTGGAGACTTACCGTTGTATGTAGGTCCACTGTCTATACTGCCCCCATATCCAGGAGAATCACAGTAGGGAGGGGCCCAATCCGAACTGCAATGGCAATTTTTATTGCTGTTGCAGACCTGTTTGAGAGAAAGAGATGTAATATTGAGGTGAACTCAGTGACAGAGCAAATGCCTTCAGAACCGTCTTCCGGTTTCTAAACCGCTTGTGCACGGGAAGACCAATTTGCCAGCACATGCATGGGCGCCAGGGAGCTGCTCTTCCGATTTCCGGCGCTCCTACGCGTGCAAAGACCAGCTGGCTGGTGTGCACGCGCACATGAATACCAGCTATCCGGTGTGTGCGTGCGCACTGGGGAGCCGCCATTTTGGTTTCCGGTGTTCTCTCACGTGTGAAAACCAGCTGGCCGGAACCCGGAAGAGCAACGGCTGGCGTGCTCGGAGAGATGGCTCCGCGTGCCATAGGTTCGCCATCACAGGTGTAGAGTCTCCTGCTTGGGCGGTAGGGCGGGGTTGGACTAGATGACCTACAAGGTCCCTTCCAACTCTGTTAAACTGTTAATGCTGCTCTCTTGAGCAGTGGTTGGACTTAGAAGTTCTCCAAGGCCTCTTTCCAATCCTACGATTCTACCTCCTATGTTCTTCAGAATGCAAGGGACTTTCCGTGGAGATTCTCCGTCATCCAGGTCACGGTTGTTCCAAGGTGTTTTTTCGAAAGGGAACCGGACTTTCTTTGTTCTTTCCTTGAAGACGTTTCTCTTCTCATCCAAGAAGCTTCTTTAGTGCGGCAGAACCGAAGACATTTCTTGGATGAGAAGCGAAACGTCTTTAAGGAAAGAACGAAGAAACGCCCAGCGGCCTCTTGAAAAAGCACCTTTTGAGACAAGGAACTTTCCCTAACCATTTTCCTGGGACGGCTTCCCACCCACGCTGAAGCAGAAAATAGGTGGAAAATAACAGATTTTCCTTCTCTGCAAACAGGATCTGTGAAGTGTCATTGATGTGGATGGAAACAGGCAATGTGCGAAGGCCAAAATGGACACACGCGTAGCCATTTTATTTAGCCTTATTATATATTCCTTTGCTTTCTTTCTTTCTCTTTGTGGGTTATGGGAGGAAGGGTTTCGGTCTTGCCACATTCCTAAGGTGGGAGGAATGGAGATAGAGAGAGTTGTTTAGGCCAAGTGGTTCTTCTTCCTGTGGGAACAAAAGCTGACCCTGCTGAGACCTGGAGATTGATGGCACCAGGCAACATTGATTTACTTCAATTGGGGAATGTGACTTTTGGGAGCTGTTTCTAACTTCCAATGTTATGTGTTGTGATTCCGGGTTGTGTCAGATCCAGAATTACAACAGATTTTGCCAATTTGATGCTTTGCTAAATAAAAGAAATCGTTTTGGAAGACGGACTTCGCTCTTTTCTTTTTAAATGGATTTCATCGTTTAGAAACGTGACGACGTGCTGTTCATCGCTTAGTGGAAAAGCTTAAAAAAAAAGAAACCCTACTAAAAAAGCAAGTAATAGGAAGATCTACTACCAACCAACTTGAGAGAGGAAGAATCCCATTTCCTGAAGTGGTGAACAAGAAAAAAAAACCCACCGTGAAGGTAATAGATTGTTAAAAAAAAAAAAAGTCAGAATTTGGCAAAACGGCACCACTGAATGGCTCAGTCAGAGAACAAACATCAAAAAGTAAAAACTTGTTTGGAAGGCCAGAAGCCTTCTATGAACTGTTTGCTGAAAGAAGAAGAAAAAAAAGTGAACGGACGATTTATGGATGTGGAGAGTACAAAAAACAAGGACTAAATAACAGATCTGTAAAATACTTAAAGAGGGAGTAAAGATAATAAGAATTACAGGTTGAAAAGAAAAGTCAGAAGTCATCTCCATGTTTCTTCATTGGGCTTTCTTTCTTTCTTTCTTTCTTTCTTTCTTTTTCTTGTATGTTTTTGTTTTATGTTCTTCCTATTCACTTTTCAGTTTGTGATTATTGTGTGAAATTTTAATACACATAATTTTTAAAAGGAGATGGTTTATTTCACTGGATTTTTGCTTCTGGCCTTCTTGATGTTCTATTGTAGGGGTCTTCAAACTTGACAGCTCTAAGACTTGTGGACTTCAACTCCCAGAATTCCTCCTCCAGTCATGTTAGCTCAGGAATTCTGGGAGTTGAAGTCCACATGTCTTAAAACTGCCATGTTTGAAAGCCTTTGTTCTGTTGCTACTCTGGCCTGCAGATTCCTTGAAGAGCCAACCCTGTTCTCCCTGCTTCCAGAATCTGATCATTTGGGATCTGGACACCATCTAAGGATGGACACCCCATGGACTTGACAGTCTTCCTAATTTATAATCCTTTCTTTAAACCAATGATTGGTTGATCTTCCCAACCCTTAGAACAGTAGCGAACATTAGTGGACAGTGAGAAAAAAAATCAGTGGAGGGACAAGGAAGATACTAGATAGATGTTAGATCCGGAAACCGAACCCCGGAACCAACAGGAAGGTCTACAAAAATCAAACTGCTTTTCGTTTGGAACTTACCCCACGTCCGTTGCATTTATTCTTGATGTCACAATCGTAATCTAAGACAGAAGCGTTAACGCACTGGGAGTGTTTGCAGACCTGAAATAAAGCAACAGCCACATGATTCATTTGCACACAAGCCATTCAAGGCCGATTATTTAAGACATTCCACTCCCCAACTTGGCCCTGTTCAAATGTAGCGAGATGCGGACCCCCCCCCCCCCAGTTTTCGGCTCAACGTAAAAGCGAAGCGAAGAAGGTCCGTGCATTCTGAGAACAGCCAAAAGACAACTCCAAAAAGAACAGGGTTGTTCTGGCCCAGTTCCCCAAACACAACAAACCGTCTGAAGTTCACTCAAAGATTCCTTTATTGGGAGTGTCCGCAGCCCTGGCAAAAAAGTTTCTCATCGCAGGCTGGGAGTTGTAGTCCACCAGGCTTAAAGTCTCCAAGGTTGGAGACCCCTGCCCTAGAGCAGAGGTGGGGAACTAGGTGGGGAACCATTTATGATCTGTGAACTTCAACCACCAGAACTCCATGTTCCCCAGGAAAAGGAATCAACTCATCCTGGGAGCTTTGAAGTGGCCCCTACGAGCTTGACCTACCTTTCCAGGTGCGCACTTGGTGCCTTCATTCACCATCCCAGGATCCGGCACGTCGGATCCTAGCTGGAAGTCAACGCCCCAACAAGTGGTGTCTTTGATAGGAGTTTGGATAATGGCGGGCTTGATCCGAAAGACCGGCAAGTTTTCCACATTCTCACACTGCAGCTTGCCGCACATGGCATTCCTGATGAGACAAGGGGCATCACTGCAATGGGGTTCTAACTCAGCTCCCCAAAGACTACAAACCCTCCGTGGTTAACTAAATGTTTCCTTTATTAGCAGCGCCAGCAGCCCAGGCAAAAAGTCCCTCTCTCGCTGCAGGTTCACAAGTCCGTCTGACAAGGAGTTAAATAGTTGTCTGCCAATCCTGTTCATCTCCGCCACATGCCTTTTGTCCCCAGAACTAGGGTGGGGCTTCTCTAGGAGTGGTGGCTCTTCCGTTCCAAGGACCGGCCCATAGATTTCCACTGCTCTCCTCTCCTCTGCCTTCTGTGCAGCCATGCGTCAGGCACTGGACCCAGCTGTTCCTCCTCTTCCTCATCAGACACCTCCAGACCTGGGGTCTGTTGACGCTCCATCTGAGGGCTGACGGACAGCCCAGGCTCTGCGTCCATCTCTCTCTCTCTCTCTCTCTCTCTCTCTCTCTCTCTCTAGGTAAACAAGTCCGTCCAGCAGGGAGATGTCCACCACATCTATTCATCTCCGTCCCCTGCCCTTTATCCCCAGAGCAAAGGTGGGGCCTTGCTAGCAGCAGTGGCTCTTCCATCCCAAGGACCGGCTCATAGATTTCCACTGCTCTCCTCTCCTCTTGCGCATCTCTGTTTCAGGCACTGGAGCCAGCTGTTCCTCCATCAGCCACCTCCAGACCTGGGGGCTGTTGACTCTCCATCTGAGGGCTGATGGACGGCCCAGGCTCCACCTCTCTCTCTCTCTGACAGATCTATTCCCTCTTCCCCCTTGGAGCTCCCAGGTTGCCTGGATGCTCACCCTGACTCCCACATCTCCTCCTCTGATTCAGCCACCGGAAGGGCTGACGGCTGATAAGGCCACAACAAACAGCCTGCATCATATTTGGAGAGTCAATATCCTTTCTTCTTTTGTTTGTGGGTTTGTTTTGCCAATGATATTCCGATAAATTTATCCTGATGCTCCCAGGCAGACAGACTCAATCGTCCCATGAAAAAACAAAAGACCTAACACTAAGGATGGGCCAGGAAGTCTGGTGGGAATTCAAGGACCACTCAGCGGTTCCTCGATAGGGAACTATCCAGGAATCAGCATCACCATCATTTAACGACCCCATAACCCTTTGCGGGGTGGGGTCTGGGCAACTAAATGGAGCTGAATGCTTACTGGCCGGATGCCCTACCTGTCGCCGATGTGGAGTTTTATTCAGCATTCTCATTGTACGAAAGAGAAAGAAATATCTGTTTTTCTCGAGGATCAAACTCACACTTGCCGTGGCTAATTCACGATGTCCAACTCGCTGCAGGACAATTTAGCAGTTCAATTTAACTATTAAATTTTTTATTTAAATTATTTACATTTTTGCCCCGTCCTTTTTCGATCCTTTCTTTAATGATTCAATGCCACCATTTTCTTGATACAAGTGCAATTCTTGTCCCGCAGCAAGTTGTCCCACAGTGACTTGGGCACGGCAAGTTGGCCGCAGCAAGTGGTCCACGGCAAATGATCACAAGGCCCTCCCACCCTGCCACAACAGCTACCCTGGACTTCCCCTTCTACGAAACAGTTCTGTCAAGGCTCAAGGAAATCTCCCCAATGTGCCTCCTTACCAGCTTGAGCATTTCTTGTACTCGCGGTTCTGATATCCACAGTTTCCAAACCTATCGCCTTTGGAATTCACATCCGAGAAACAGATTTTGGGAGCAACCTTTGCTTCTGCAAAGCAAACACATTGGGAAGCCAGGTTAGCAATCCAAGATTCAACTGGCACGCCCCACCCCCTTACCTTCCAAGGCCCCAAGTCCCGCCACCTTTGCAGCATGAGATACAATCCTCGACTCATAACCGCAATTGAGCTCAGATTTCTGTTGCTAAGTGAGGCTTTTGCTAAATGAGTTTTGTGGCATGTTACGTGTCCTTTCTTGCCACAGTTGTTACATCTGCATTACAGCAGCAAAAAGTCGGTAAAGATTCTCCGTCACCCAGGTCATGGTGGCCCCAAAGGTGCTTTATTTTTCAAGAGGCCACTGGACTTTCTGTTTTCCTTTGAAGACATTTCGCTTCTCGTCCAAGAATCTTCTTCAGCTCTGACAGGATGATGTGGAATAGAAGGATTTATATTCCTTGCAGACAGCTCTGGTCATTTGCGTCCTTTTAGCGGATCGTTGAGGCCGCTTGAAGGTTTATCTGTGTTCTTAGGGTCACCTGATTGGTGCAAATGGGTGTGGAGCCTTCTCAGAATTGCTAAAAGGACTATGTTGTAGACTGGAGACAGGTGATGTCCTATCCCTCCCCCTCTGTTGAGGGAGGGCTCCTCAATTTTGACATAGATGGCTTCTTCTTTAACCCAGCTGGTCATTTGCATCCTTTTAGAGGCTCATTAAGGCCACGTGGAGGTTTATCTGTGTCCTCAGGGTCATCTGAGTGGCGCTCCTGGTTGCTGAAGTCTGCAATTTTTTCCTCTGGAAATCCATTCCTACTCCCATTCCAAGGGTCTTTGTCCCAAATTGCATGGCTAAAAGTCTGTAGAGATTCTCAGCCATCCAGGTCATGGTTGTCTGCTACCAGCTGTCTTGCAAGGAATATAAATCCTTCCCTTCCCCACCATTCAGTCAGAGCTGAAGAAGCTTCTTGGAGGGGAAGTGAAACGTCTTTGAAAGAAAAAACAAGGAAGTCCAATTTCCTGAAAATCACCTTTGCGACAACCGTGACTGGGTGACTCAGGTAATCCTCCGGGTCACCTGAGTAGCTTTAATGGCTCCTGTAGTCTGCAATTTTTTTCTTTGGAAATCTATTGCTACTCCCTACCATTTGTAGGATGGGATGAACATCATGAAAAATTGAAAAATTGCAGACTACAGGAGTCATTTGCACTACTCAGGTGACCTGGAGGACACAGATAAACCTCCACGTGGCCTCAACGACCCTCTCAAAGGATGCCAATGACCAGCTGTCTGCAAGGAATATAAATCCTTCCATTCCCCACTATCCTGTCAGAGCTGAAGAAGCTTCTTGGACGAGAAGCAAAACGTCTTCAGAGGAAAAATAAAACAAGAAAGCCCAGTTGCCTCCTGAAAAAGAAAAAAGGCACCTTGGGGACCGATTAGCAGCAGTCAATCCAGACTCAGAGTCGTAATTCATCCCCGGCCAAACGCCAAAATGCTTTGGCTTTTTTGGCTCCAGCCATAATCTCCCTTACGTGGTCCAAAGATATTCTGGCACTGCAACTCATAATCCTGGCAAACGCCATCGTAACAGTAGGCCTTGTCTTGGTGGCAAGGGTGCCCGTTCTGGATAGTGACATCCTGCGGGCAGAAGGCCGAAGACCCATTACAGTACTCGGGGAGGTCGCACTCGCTGGCCCTCTCACGGCACACGGTGCCCTTGGAAAGATACTGGAGAGAGAAGAAGGGAAAAGGGGACACACACGTTTTGGTGTTTTGAGATCCATTATGGAAGTGGGTCTAAAGTTTGCCCTGGTGCCTTCCAGATAGGGTGGAATGGCAGTTCCGAGCATTCTGTGTTCACTATTTATCTGGGTATAGGATTGGATCGGATCAGATCAGATTGGATGGATCAGACAGGACAGGAACAAGGAATAGGATGAAAATAGAACAGAATAGAACAGAACAGAACAGAACAGAATGGAATAAAACAGAATAGAACAGAACAGAATGGAATGGAATAGAACAGAACAGAACAGAATAATATAGAACAGAATAGAACTGAATAAAATTAGAATAGAATAGAACAGAATAAAATAGAATAAAACAGAAAAGAACAGAATAATAATAGAACAGAATAGAACAGAACATGAACAGAACAAAACAGAATAATATAGAACAGAATGGAATAGAACAGAACAAAATAATAATAGAACAGAACAGAATAGAATAATAATAGAACAGAATAATATAGAACAGTGGAATAGAACAGAACAGAATAACAGTAGAACAGAATAGAACAGAACAAGAGCAAAACATAATAATAGAACAGAATAACATAGAACAGAACAGAACAGAATAATATAGAACAGAATGGAACAGAACAGGATAGAGTAATAATAGAACAGAACAGAATTGAATAATAATAGAACAGAATAATATAAAACAGAATGGAATAGAACAGAACAGAATAGTAGAACAGAATAGAACAGAACAAGAACAAAACAGAATAATAGAACAGAATAATATAGAACAGAACAGAACAAAATAAAATAGAATAGAATAAGAATAGAATAAGAATAGAAAAGAATAGAACAGAACAGAAACAAAAACACAAACAGAACAGAATAATATAGAACAGAATAGAAGTAATAATAAAAGGACATTATAAATAAAAGGACATTAGCGGACCTCGCCCGAGCGCGAGACAAACGCTGAAGAAAAAGAAGAAGAAGAATAGAAGTTCTTACCTGACAATCTTTACAGCAATCTCCGTAGCCGCAGCCAGATCCTGAGCGAAGCCTGCAAGTTCCTGCCTCACAGCAAGGATCAGATTTACATTCCTGAAAAAGACGAAGACACCTACGAAGGTAGCACACTTCCAGGCGCTTTCAGTCCTGTCTCCTAACCAAAAGGGGAAAGTCTGCTTTTTAGGTGCAGACAGGTAGATCTGTGAGTTCCTAGACACAAGTGTCCATGTGCAAATGAGGTTTTACTTTGATCCTGGCCTCATTCAACATTTTTGGGGAGCGTGGTCGCTGTATTCCTCATAACTCAACCATTAGACGGTTCTTCAAGGTAAACTTAGCTCTTCAAGCACATATCATTGTCCATAGGCAGTTCCCAAGGTTTTCCTCTTGCCTTCTTGAAATTTCATTCACTTTTCAAGCTGGCCAGAATCTAAAACTGACCCTGGCCACCAAGATGTCTTTATATGTGTTACTTACCTCCACTGACCCACAGTCACACTCTTCTCCTGCATCCACAAGCTTGTTGCCGCAGTATGGGATGCTGTAGGTCTCTTCAGGCCTGGGGATGTTGAGGAGGCAGCTCCCGCCCTTGTTTAGGGTTAGCTTTTCAAAGTCTTCCTCGCTGCACGTGCTGAAATTCCTGGCACCTCTACAAAGAGGGTGAGATTTCAAAAACCCTTTAAGTTAAGCCTGGAAGGGCATCCAGCCAGTAAACAGTCGGTTCCATTCAGTTGCCCGGACTCCCACCCCACAAAGGATTATGGGGTCATTAAAGGAAGAAGATGAGGGTTGATCCTCTACTTCCCTTTTGGAGACAAAAAAAGGGGCCTGCTAGGTTCATTAAGGAATCTGCTCGACCTGCGAACTTCAACTCCCAAGGAATCTGTTTGATCTTCCACCGCCAGGTGTCAAAATGCCTTTTGGAAAAATAGAATCGGGAGTGACTTACGATGCTCCAGAGTTCATAATACAGTTCCCCGTTTCACAGTGACAGTTTCTATCGTTGTCGTGGTTCATGCCCAGATTGTGGCCAAGCTCATGAGCGACGATGGATGCAAACGCCTGCAAGCTGGTGGGTCCAAACTACAAAACATCACAGAACAAAGAAGACGGCATGGATTCCTTTGTCGGGAGACTTGTGCGCCAAGAGTACTAGGCAAGGCGGCGTGGGGTTCGAGCTGTCTCCTGGCTGTCATTTCCCAGAGGATCACGGGCTGCCCTCTCCCCTCTTTGGAAGAGCTTTAGAGCTCCCGCTGCCTTAAGAAAGTTCAAAACATTCTCAAAGGTCCACCTCATCCTGGGAACCCCCTTTTTTTTGAACTATTACCATCTGGCAGACGGTACAGGACAATAAAAACAAGGACAAATAGGCTGAAAAACAGCTTCTATCCCAGGGCAGTAGCTCTGTTGAATTCTACTGTATAGCACAATATGAATGCAATTTCAGGGGTTCCCAACTCAATTGTATAGAATGTGAAGGATGTGTGTTTGTGTTTTATTTTCATAGTCATAATGTACACTGAAGATGGTATTTAATTCCATTGTATGAGGTGCAATGACAATAAAGTAAAGTAAAGTAACAGTAAAGTAAAATAAAAGTAAAGTACAGTAAAAGTAAAGTCCAAAATAAAAGTAAAGTAAAGTGAAAGTGAAAGCGACAGTGAAAGTGAAAGCGAAAGCAACAGTGAAAGTGAAAGTAAAAGTGAATGTACATTTATTATTTTTGTGTCATGCCCCGGGTCATCACAACAACTTTCAGATTCGGGATTCCCCGGATGTGCCTGTTTACTACCCAAATTAAAAAAAAAAACTTTTGAGAAGATGTCTGTCTTGGAGTTATTTGTTGGAGTGGAGGTTTTCTGGAATGCTGACACTGTCATACAACAACCGTTTTGTTTTGCAATGGAAATGTTGAGCTCAGTTGCGATCATAAGCGGAGGACAACCTCCCCTGCCCTTTCTGCCACAAGTCATCCAAGCTGTAATTTTATCTTTGACTTAATGGTGGTGCAGTGAATAGCCGCTTACCACATTAATGCCTCCAGAGTGACTGTTGGAGCACACGGTGCCCACGTAAGCCATCCCAGCTGTGCCACCAAAACCCTTCCTCCTACAGTAGAGAGGAAAATAACCCACATTTGTTAATGACAATTAAGCATGAAGCATTACTTTTGTCTGAAAGCAAACGATCGTCCATTTATAACCCCATGCAATCATGTTGGCCATCCATAATTATGGCATCATCTGTAGTTATTTTCTTACTAGCCCAAAAGTAAAATGAATTCATCACCCACAGCCATTCTAACCAAAGGAAGAAGGAGGACTTGGTTTGCCACCTAAGAGATTAAGTCTCTCAGCTATCCCAAAAATGCTTTTTTCAGGAGGCAGGTGGATTTCCTTGTTTTTTTTTCCTCTGAAGACATTTTGCTTCTCATCCAATAAGCTTCTTCAGCTCAGACAGGATAGTGGGGAATGGAAGGATTTGTATCCATATAAAAGGACCCCGAGGACACAGATAAACCTCCAAGTGGCCTCAACGACCCTCTCAAAGGATGCAAATGACCTGCTTTTCTGCAAGGAGCATAAATCCTTTCCTTCCCCACCATCCAGTCAGAGCTGAAGAAGCTTCTTGGATGAGAAGCGAAACCTCTTCAGAAGAAAAACTAAGAAAGTCCCGTTGCCTCCTGAAAAAAACAACTTTGGGATAACCATGAACCCGGATGACTGAGAATCTCTACAGACTTAAAGCCTCTTGACTGTTATTGCCAGCCAAGAGATCTCCTTCAGCATTTTCCTCCATTTTGTAGATCGAATATGTGGCGTTGAAGATTTTTCAAGCCCAAAATGCTGAGACTCACTTACGAAGGAGATCTCTTGACTGGCACGGAGAATGTTCCAACGCTTAATATCTTAGGTGGCAAACCAAGCCCTCGTTCTTCCTTTGGTTAGAACGGAGGTGGAGAATATATGTGTTTTGCTTTGGGGCTAGTAAGAAAAATCGCTACGGATGGTGTAACATCAACAGTTGCCAAAAACTACAGTGAAAAGAATAAAGGGATTAGAGCAGGGATGTCCAACCGTGGCAACTTTAAGAGACTTAAAGATGATTAAGGGATTGGTGGCTAAAACGTATAAAGAATGGTTGCTGGAATTGGGTGTATCTAATTACATGAAATAAGGACTAGGGGGACATGAGAGCAGTCTTCCAATATCTCAGGGGCTGCCCCAAAGAAGAGGGAGTCAAGCTGTCCTCCAAGGCCCCTGAGGGCAGGAGAAGAAGCAACAAGGATGGAAACTAATCAAGGAGAGAAGCAACTTAGAACTAAGGAGGAATTTCCTGACAATTGGGACAGTTAATCAGTGGAACAACTTGCCTCCGGAAGTTGTAAATGCTCCAACACTGGAATTTTGTAAGAAGAGATTGGACAACCATTAGTCTGAAATAGGGTTTCCTGCCTGAGCAGGGGTTGGACTAGAAGACCTCCAAGGTCCCTTCCAATTCTGCTGTTCTGTTCTGTTCTAGTCTAGTCTAGTCTACTCTTCTTCGTTCCATTATTCTGTTCTGTTCTGTTCTGTTCTGTTCTATCCTATCCTATCCTATCCTATCCTATCCTATCCTATCCTATTCCATTCCATTCCAATTCTACTCTATTCTTCTTCATTCCATTATTCTATTCTATTCTATTCTATTCTATTCTATTCTACTCTACTCTACTCTACTCTACTCTACTCTACTCTACTCTTCTTCATTCCATTATTCTATTCTATTCCATTCTAATTCTACTCTATTCTTCTTCATTCCATTATTCTATTCTATTCTATTCTATTCTATTCTATTCTATTCTATTCTA